TCCCTCCTTGTGTACGAGTCGTACGCATGCCGCAGCTGTAACGCGTAAGCGAGTGATTCAAAACGACCGCCTCGCGGTTGTTGTCGTTCCCCACCTGGAACGGCGCTCCAATGATGGCGAACTCCCTGACGCTGTAGTTGCCCGCTGCGTAGACCATCAGGTTGCACTGGTAGCTGTGCACCGAGGGAAGGAAGGAGGGAGGAGGGAAAGAGGGCAAGGGGGAGGAGGAGAGGGACGGAAGAGAAAGGTTATTATGTCGCGCTTTGGGATTAGGGTAGGAACAAGGAGCCATAGGGCCATAGGGCCATAGGTGGCTCAAGCGCGAGAAAAAATGAGAAGCATTACACAGAAGCAGCCACAGTTCTGAACAGTTGGGCTGCCGTTTTGAAGAAAAATCTGGCAGAATTGACTACAGCGTCAAGCATTCATGTATCACCTGCCAAACGTTTTAACATATACATGCATGTAATATTTTTTATTACTCACAACATACATGTCGTACAATTCATAGGACTTGCGATAGCAAGGGATAATTTTTAAGGATAATGGTCCTCCCAAACTTAAACTCAATCAACCTGAACACCGAGGTACCTGAAGGGGTTGACAAAGCCCGCAGAGGCGCCCAGCATAATTGCAATGGAGACGTCGCGTGGCGATATCATAAGCTTTTCGCCAGCAATAGCCGCGATAGGGTACATAATCGCGCCAGCGGCGTTGTTGGTTAGCAGCTCAGACATGACCGCCGTGGCAATGTAAATGGCGATAAGCGCCGGGCCGGTACCTCCAACTCTATTGCCGATGCCGATGATGGCGTTCGCAACTTTGCCTGCCACCCCCGTACTCTCCAGGGCAGCTGACACACCGAAAGCAGCAGCGATGGTCAGGTAGACGTCCCTGCGATGGGAGGGTTGGATATTGCTGAGCATGCTGGAAAACCGAAAGATATCAACGGATAGAGAGCTGCGTAATAGGCTGATGTGAGATTTTAGGATAACGGCACCTTGTGAGCACCGGACAGGTCACAAGGATAGGATGGTGCTTATAGGCGATTTGGCAGCCCTTGAGCCCTCGGCTCGTACTAGGGTGGTGGCGACCACGAACTGCCTATGGCTGACCTCGCCGACCGCGGCAAAAACGGAGAACTCTCGAAAAATATGCTTGAGTTAATATAGGCCAGAATGGCAGAAAATGGGCAGGCGCGGACCTCCGCGCCAAAGGAACGTTCAAATGGACGGGCGACAGCCCCAGCTGCTCGCCAACAACCAAGCCGCGCCCAAGCGGAACGAAAGTTTGTGAACATCGACGTAATAATGGACACGGTTCCAGAAGGAACACCATTTTATATGGAACAGGACCAGGTTACCATGGAAATCCATTGGCCGGTCGGAACCGCGGACATACAAGCCCAGCTACATGGACCAGTGGGCAATGCCATTTTAAACAGATTACGGGCGATAATACCGCCCGTTGAGGCAGAGGGGCTACTCGGGCCGCGTATCAGCAAATGCCCGCAACGGGCACTCCCCAGCGGCGTGAAGGTGCAAGAAATCAACATCTTGATCCGGAAAGGTGGTCTCACAATGCTTACCACCTCGCCAGCAGTCCGGAGGGGACGGCTTCACCTGGGGCCAGTCCATCTCCTACCCAGCAGCCCCCCGGTGGAAGTGGAGCTGCCCATCACGAACCTGTACAAGGCGGAACGGCCCTACTGGGAGATCAAGGGGATCCCCACCTACCTGGATCCCAGAGTCATCCCTGGTTTCCTTGCCGTCTGCTACTCCACTCAGTGGTTCCGGTGGGATGAATCAGACATCCATGAGCTGAATCCCACTACGATGGCAGACACCTGGAGAGTCAAGGTGGCGCAGGACACCCCCGGTCTACCGGGTGAAAAACACTTCGAACTCGGCAGGCCGGGGGAGGCAACCAGGCCCGGCATACTGAGGGCTTCCAGACTGAAACGGACCGATCAGGAGGGACCCTTCACTATGCCGTGCAAAGCACCACCAAGGAAGGAGCTGGCGCGCCAGACACAGCAGTTACAGCAAATGCGACAGCAGGGCCGTGCTGCACAGCCTGTTGCTGCCCCGGGCCAACCAGGCCCCTCAAACGGGGGAGGGCCCTCGTATGCAGCAGCCGTGATGCGGTCAAGGTGGGGCATGGAGACGGCCATGGGAGCAGGACCCCAGCTTGCACCCATGGGGAGGGGTCTCAACCCGGAGCTGCAGCCGTATATCACACCCCCACCCGTGCCGCCTGCATCAGCCATCACCACCACCAATGTGGCCACCACCATTACCATGGCCGCAAACACCCCAGCCGCCATAGCAGCTACCAATCATGCAGCCAGCAACCCCGCCGTCCCTGCGCAGCCAGGACAGGCGGCCCCTGCAACTGCTGCAGTGGTGGGACCCCAGCAGGCCCCGCCCCAGCTGCAGGCCCCGCCCCCACCACCACCCTTGCCGCTGCAGCCGCCACCAGTGGCCCCGCAACAGCCAGGCCCCACGGCGGCGGCAGCAGCTCTACAAGGGCTAGGGGCACAGGCCGGCCCCACGGTGGTGGAAGAGGAAACCACAACCCACAGGGAGCGCGACACCACACTGGCGGCACCACGGGAGCAAGAGCCACCAGCAGCCATAGCCAATACAGTCCCCACCTTCCAGTTCACAGCAGGTAGGAAGGAGCCAGGTGGCAGGCAACGGGCAACCGGGGGCAAAGCTAGGCAGCAGATGTGCCCTGAGACGAACCAGGCCCCTACACCCTCTGAGGCCCCAAAGAGGAAGCGGCAGCGGCTGGAGCACCTTACTGCGGAAGAACGGGCAGAGCGAAACAAAGCCCAGACCCGCAAGGCCTTGGAGGCCCGAAAGAAAAATGTGGAGATACGGAGGGCACAGAGGGCAGCAGAGGAAGCCGGAGAGAAGTTAACTGCGCAGCTGCAAACGGGCAGCCAGGCCCAGCCCTCCGACGGCACACAGGTCCCAAGCCTGCAACTGCAACTGACAGCTGGAGACCAGTCCCCCAGCGAACCCCGCACCCAGCGAGCAGCCGCCGTGCAATGCCAGCAACACCTGAGCACCCACAGCCCAGCATCAACACAGGGGGATGATGATG